GGCCTCCTGCACTGGCCCCCGGGGTCAGCACCGTGAGCACCTGGGAGCCTCCGCTGGGGAAGGTGGAGAGTCGGAGCTTGTAGGAAGGCCCTTCCCCGCCCGGGCAGCCCTGGCCTGGGAGGGCCTGGGGGAAGGGAGGTGGGAGCTGGCCTGAGGGAGAGGCGGGGAGTGAGGACCCGCTAGGCCCAGGCCGGGGCCAGGAGAGCCGGTGTTTTCAGAAACTAGAGGTGCACTGGGCGGTAGCGGGGGAGGTGCAGGGAGGCAGGGGTCCTGGGGGCTCCGAGGCCACCTGGTCAGGCTCTGACGGAAGGGGCGAGAGGAGGAGCCCAGACCGGACCTGTCCCGGGAGGACACACCTGTAGTGACAGGCCAGGTGGCCTCAGGGGGGCGGGGAGGTCAACTTGAAGCCCGTTTTCCGTGGTCTCTGTTTGTCAAACCCAAGTCGCTGGAGAAGTGGATGGGTTGTGAGCAGCAGGATGGCAGTGGGCCATGAGGGCGAGCTTCTGTGCTCTGTTGCTGCAGAGAAAGGAGCTGCCTGTGAGGAGGTAACCTGCCCACAGTACTTCCCCACCAGCGCATGGCCGCGGCCCCCGGGGGGAGTGGGTCCTGAAACTGCCCGAAAACTCCCCCGCCCTTGGTTAAGTCGCTCTGATGTGCTTGGTTTAGGGGTGTTTTCACGGTTAGAAGGAGGACCTGCTTTTCCTCCGTCATGGGGGGCACCAACACCTACTGTGCGCCAGACCTGGCTCAGTCCCTGGACGCACAGCGCCTTCTGGTGCTCACGCAGAGTGGCCCACTGTGGACGGCGGCGCCAAGACCTGGCTGCAGGGGCCTGACCCCAGGCGAGCTGGCGCGGTCGGTCCGCGGCCTGTGCTGGGAATGTGGTTCCGCCTACCCTGGGGTCTGGAGGCGAAAGGCTGCATCCAGTGTAAGGACCTGGGGTCTGGCCTGGGATGACCTCCGAGAGGGGGAGGGGGCCTCCGTCTTTCACGTGACTTTCTTTCTCATATGTGACCAGTGAGCGTCCTCTGGCTGTGCCAGTGCCTTCAAACAGGCCTGAGAGTGAAGTCATGTGGACCTGGAGCCGTGTTGTGTCCCCGCTTCAGTTCAGCCGATGTAAAGGCAGATGTAAAGGCAATTGTCTTTCCTTCCAGGCTGAAGGCGGATACATGAAGACCCCAGCGACCACGGCCCTGGCCCTTTGTCGTGGACGAGACTCCGTGTGGGGCCCCGCAGCCCTGTGCTGACTGCGCTCGCTGTGACCCAGGACTCGGGACAATGAGTCTCGTGGGCGACCAAGGGCCATCGGAGAGCATCTTTGACCTGGACTACACCTCCTGGCAGATCCGTGCCACGCTGGTGGCCGCCGGCTTTGCCTTCTACCTGGGCGTCTTCGTGGTGTGCCACCAGCTGTCATCCTCTCTGAACGCCACGTACCACTCCCTGGTGGCCAAGGAGAAGGTCTTCTGGAACCTGGCAGCCACGCGGGCCGTGTTTGGTGTGCAGAGCACAGCCGCGGGTCTGTGGACGCTGCTGGTGGACCCGGTGCTGACGGCCGACAAGGCGCACGCCCAGCAGAGCTGGTCCTGGTTCCACGTGGCCACGGCCACCGGCTTCTTCCTCTTCGAGAACTCGGCCCTGCACCTGTCCAATGCGCTCTTCCGCACCTTCGACCCCTTCCTGGTGCTCCACCACCTCTTCGCCTTCCTGGGCTTCCTGGGGCTGGCGGTGAACCTGCAGGCCGGCCACTACCTGGCCATGACCACGCTGCTGCTGGAGGCCAGCACGCCCTTCACCTGCGTGTCCTGGATGCTGCTGAAGGTGAGCACCGCCTCCTGTCAGGTCCTGCTCCGCCCAGGAGCTGAGCGCCGTGTCCGGCTCGCGTGGGCCGTGGGGTCGTCAGCAGACGGAGCGACTGCAGGCGGCATCGGCAACAAGCTCTTTTTGGTTGAATTTAATTTTATTCATTTTATTTATTTTTTAAATATGTTTATTGATTTCAGAGAGGAAGGGAGAGGGAGAGATAGAAACACCAATGATAAGAGAGAATCATGGATCGGCTGCCTCCTGCATGCCCCCTACTGGGGATCGAGCCCGCAACCCGGGCATGTGCCCTGATCAGGATCGAACCCGGGACTTTTCAGTCTGCAGGCCGATGCTCTGTCCCCTGAGCCATACCAGCCAGGGCTAACTTTATACATTTTAAAGAAATCGCTTAAATGGGGCTGGGGAACCTGCAGCTGAGGTGCGTGCCCTTGACCGGGAGTCGGACCCTCAGTTGGTCCAGGATGGGCTTCACGGCATCCTGCTGGGCGCACAGTCACTGTGGACAAGGACATGTCCAGGCGCTGTGTGATGGACATGGGCTAATCATCACGTGGCAGTCTCACCTGCGGGGCCTGGGTGTGCCGCCTCCCTGGGCACACGCCTCCCTGGGCACACGCCTCCCTGGGCACACGCCTCCCTGTGACATGCGTCGGAGCAGCCCAGGTGGCGGCGGGTGAGGCCTGAGCAGGTGCCACGGAGCCCGCTTCCCCTGGTGGCCACAGCTGGGGTGCCGGGTCGGATCCTAGTTCTGCTTTTAGAAGATGGAACCCCACACTTTCCCACTGCGGCTGCACGATGCTCATGCCCACAGCCCACAGCGCTGCCTGCCTTTCTCTTTCCCTGGGGCCATCTGGCAGAGGGAGGTCGGTCTCGCTGGTCTGACGCCCTTTCCCAGCAGCTCCTGGCATCAGCGCTCTCAGGTGGCTGTCGCCCGTTAGTCTTGGGAAAACTCTTCAGTCCCGAGCCCACTTTTTAACCCGATTCCTTGCTTTTAGACCAGTGGTTCTCAACCTTGGCTGCACATTAGAATCACCTGGGAATCTTTTTAAAATCCTGATTTCTGGGCCTCATCCTCCGGAAATTCTGTGTCTTTGTTATGGGGTGGGGCCACAACATTAGTAACAAAGAAAGAATTTCCGGAGGATGAGGCCCAGACATCAGGATTTTAAAAAGATTCCCGGGTGATTCTAATGTGCAGCCAAGGTTGAGAACCACTGTTTTAGACTATTGGCTGCTATTGGCTGCATGGTTCTTACATCCGCTGGAGGTTACTCTCACCACATACATGACCGACAGGTGTCTGCCGCCACCTCAGGCCTCCTTCCCGGGCTGTCTGTCTCCTTTTCGAGGAGCGCAGCCACACGCAGCCCTGCCTGTGACTTTTTATATTTGAAGTTTTTTATTTTGTGTACAAAGAGCTAGCATCTGTCCTAAGGTAGATGGAGGTCTCGAATGGCCCTTCCTGGAAGTTCACTTAGCGAAGCCCATGTCCTCGCGCGCTGGCGGGAACACGGGTGCACACGTAGAGGCCGCGCCTCCGGGTCAGACCGTGCAGGCTGAGCAGTTGCGCCGGAACGAGAGCCCTGGCGAGCGTCCTCGGGGCTTCAGCAGAGTTGCTGGGGACCCATCTTGCTCTCTCTAGCAACGAGGCAAAGCCCCCCTTGAACTTCTGCTTCTGTTGCCCACAGTCCGGTGTCAGAGGCCTGAAATCCTAGCCGAGACCAACATGAGACGGGACCCTTGCAGGCTGGCTTTGTGGGTTTAGCTGCAACCCCTGGAGGCTAGGTGTCGTGTGAATTAGAATGACCTGAAGGCAGGTTCCCTGTGGCTGAGTCCCAGGGCCACTGGGATAAAATACACAACAGCCCAGAGACCAGGGATGGCCTCGCCCTGAGCGACGCCTGGGCTGTCCCCAGGGGAGGGCTGGTCAGCAGGCCCAGCGCCCGTC